GCCAATTTCAATACTAAAATCATACATGGATTTGGTTAGGAATTTCAAAGATGCTGAGTCCCCATTATTTTCCTTCGAAAACGACAAATTCTTTGATTCAGATGGTATTTCAAAGATACTAAAGAATGCAGTGGGTATAGTAGATCAAGGCGTAACAGTCTCAGGTCACAGCCTTAGAATAGGTGCTATCACAGAAGGACTCAGAAAGGGTATGTCTACAACTGATCTAATGGTCGGTGCAAGACATAAAAAGGAAAAAAGTTTATTTCCTTACCTTAGATCTGAAGGCCTAGCTGGCAAGAATTTCACTAACACTCTATTTTCTCTGGACTAACCCATTGGTTTATCAACGAAATTCTTTATTGTTTTATTTGGAGAAATATGGCTAGTTGCGAGGAACGATGCAACGTTAGTATTTCGACAAATTGTAAACAATAAAATTGAGTTGATAAATAATTTTTATGCTCAAAAAAATTAAGAAACATGGTAAACACACCAAGCAAAATCATTGCTGACCCACCCACCCATTCCCTTAATTTCATCAAGAATTCCTTGAATTCTTTCAAATAGTCCTTCACTCCTTGAGTGTTTTTTCCTATTTGTCTTTTAGTTTGATCTTGGTAAGTGATCCTTCTAAGGATGCAGGATTTGTATTACCTTGTGATACAATAATTTTTATTTCTAACTAACATCATTTGAATAATTCGAAATATGCTCGTAAAGTAAGCCAGATTTATTTTTTCAAAAAATATTTCTGATGGAAATTACCAGGCATTTTTTTACAAGCAATTCACTAGTTAAAATAGAGAACTTTAATGGATTGGAGTTTTTACCGATTTTTTCCTGCAATGCAGGTTTTTTATAGGGGAGTTGTTCTACTTCAATCTCGATTTTGTAAACAACTTTATTAACTCGGGACAATGCTGAATAAAGTCAATGACCTAAAAGGCAACATTTCCGAGCAACATACCTCATCCTTTGGATGAAGAATATGTTGAGTGAGCTTCTACCCATTGGTTTATCAACGAAATTCTTTATTGTTTTATTTGGAGAAATAAACTCCTATTGAACCATATCGAGGAAATAAGAAATACTGTCCAGTTTATAACCTTAGAAGATACATGGACTATGTTAAACATATTAAGGAAGACGATTCTCCATTATTTTCGTTGATGTTTGATGAATATTTCACTCCTACTCAAATTTCTAATATTATTTCAAGCTCCATGAGCTCTATTGGTGTTCAAAACACTTCAGGCCATAGCCTTCGTATAAGTGCAGCTACTGAGCTGGCTTCTAAGGGTGTGTCTCAATCTGTGATTGAGACTGCTGGTAATTGGGTGCCTAATTCAAAAGCTAGATTGAGATATCAACGTAGAATTGGCCTAGCTACTCATGGTTTAACTACTTCTATTATGAGAACTGATTAACTATATATATTTATTATTTACTAAGGACTAATCCATTTGTCTTAATTTATTATTTTATTATTTTGTGATTTTAAAAACATGGGAGTTCTGAACATGGTGAAGAACTAGTGTGTTTTTATACAAAATTATTAAAATATTATTTTAAAAATTATGCTCAAAAAATAGTCTCAACATCATGTCATCATTAAGGCAAAGTCCCACCCATACCCACCCTTAATTAGTATTTACAATTTTTCAGCCTTTATTTCGCTCATTAGCACCCAGTAAGTGGGCTAATTTCAGAGTGCGGCTGTGTACATTCAAGATGTGCAATTTTTACATTTATTCACTAACTTATTTTTTGGATGACAGTTTCTAATAGATTCGAATCATTTTATTTTTCATTCCATTTGTTTCAGAAAATTCATATAGATTTTTATATATTAATGGTGATTTTAGGAACAGGTTTTACAATTTATTCACATACTCTATGTTTTTTCTTATCTTTAGCTTCAAAACTATCGATAAGTTTTTCATAATTTTGAGACTTTAATTTCTAGGGACCTGCTAAATAAAGATTTATATCCTTTAAAGCAGGTTCCAAGGTTGATTCACCATATGGTGTCTCAATCCTTGAGCTTTTAATCCATTTGTCTTAATTTATTATTTTATTATTTTGTGATTTTAAAAACATATAATTTGAAAAATTTATCAAGTGTTGTAGTTAAAATTTAATTTGAGTGTAATAAATCTTTATATGAAAAGCTATAAAAAGTACTTTCTTTATTAGAGATCAAGTTATCGGCGTTAATTGTCTTAAAAATCAATGTTGTTAAACAACTTCAATCATATTTATTAGAATCTTGATGATACAATTTTTTAGACATACCATGTTTACCATTTAATATCGAGTAGTAAAAATATGTAAATTAAAAAAAGGAAAAAATGTTGAGTTTTGGTATTTTTTTAAAAAATGTTTTTTTGAAAAAAATTTCGATAAAAACTAGAAATTTATTAGTATTTCAATGAAAAATACGAATTTTCATACATGCGTTGGTGGGATATGTTTGTCATATTAGATATTTAATAAAAATAAAATAAAAATTTTCGCATGTAAATATATATATATATATATACATCCGAAAAAATTTTTGTTGAAAGTTGGTTTATAAGATGGTGGTTAAATTGGTTTATCTGAAAAATCATTTAAAAGTGATTTAAATATAAAGATAATGAAATTAATTGAAAATTAAGAAGCTAAAATAAATTTTCAAAAATTTATCGATTTGAAATTTAGAAAAGCTTAACAAAGTAATATATAAAATATAAAAAACCATTAATTTTTAAAAATCTTCTAAAGTTGGTATTATCATTATGAAGATTATTGATTGGAAGTAATAATCTTTATGGTAAATCCAAAGAAAATGAATTCAAAGAAAGAACAAACTTTCTAAAAATATTACAAAAACACTGTTATGTTTCTTAAAAGAAAACCAACAATAAATAAACTAATAGATATAAAGCTCACACTACAACTTCTACCTATTCTTAGGTAGTTTGTAGCCTGGTTACTGCTGTTTTTAGGCATTAAGCTTTATTCAGCAGGTCCAGAAATTAAATAAACTAATCAATACAATCATACTATGATTTCTTAACAAAAAGCAAAAACTAAACTAAATTAAAGCAATCTGACAATAAACCAAGTTGTTTTTTGGAGAAACAACTCCCATATAAAAAAACCTACTCTTGTAGGAAAAAAAATCGGTAAAAACCAAAAAGTTAAGAATTAAAAAACCTACTCAACCGTCTTGACACTTACGAATCAAAACGAGAATGAGAAAAGAGGTATGTTCAGTACATATTGCCTTACTAATAGTAAGGGAAAGGTATCAGATACCTTCTAATCAACATAAAATTGATCTGTCGGTTTTAGATCACCAACAATTGGTTTTAGATCACCAATCATGATAAAAAACATCAATAAATGATGTCAAATATCAAATAATAATACAAAGATAAAAAGATGATAACAATCATCTTTCAATAATACAAATAGAGTGAAATCTTTCAATCAATTGAGAAAATATTTGAGGATTGATTAAAAAATCACATTCTAAAGTATTAAGGACAAAGGTTAGAACCTTTGATTTGAATAAACTAATAATAATAGAGGGTGGGCAAGGGTGGGACCATAGTATGACAATTTTTTTGAGCATACTTTCTATTATTAGTTTATTCAATTGTTGTTTTCAAGAAACACTACTTTATCTCAGTAAACTTCGATAAGAACAGAAATATCAAAGAATGTGGAAGAGATAAGGTAGTTTAAACCCTTCTCAGCGTAAGAACTTGTAATACTACTCAATCCGCTTCTATGGAATAGGTTGAAAAATAGCAAAAGATAAACGCCACCAATATTT